AATTTGAGATGTCTCCCAATCTATAAGGAATTTTCTCATGGGACCTAGAACATCATATTCATGACTCAATACCCTATCAGGCATATAATTGCGGCATCCTATCAATCTCTCTTGTGAGACTGGCGAGCTCCACAATAGTAGCTATAAAAACTGTGTAAAAGCTTGGTTGCCACTGCATGATATCTCCCAACATATAGAGAATTTTTAGCCAAACTTTTGTACAGATGTGTTTTATATTGCCCTCTAAATACTTATTACATTCCTAAGGTCTATAATCTCCTGTGATGAGAGCGATTGAGCTCGCAATCATTAGATCTGCTATCGTAATCTATAAAAAAAATGGGTTCACTTATGTGGGTCATATCTTCCTCATTTGTGATCCAATTGAGGTGAGTTTTAAACCATTGTGATTCTCTATGAGTCCTCTATCACTCCACAAAATTTTATTATGATTAGATTCAAAAAGCGGCAATTAAAATACCCAAACATGGAAGAATTGTTCTACAAACCGGCATACGGCTGATAAGAATAACTATTTTCTTTAATTTTCTATGTAATATCATGATGAATATTGGCAGTTATATATTTAAATCACATCAGGACAAGATCGAGATCAAACAAGGTCCGAGCTTATCATTAAAGCCACTTGAGGTGTTTTCATAATTAAATAAGGATAATAAGTTTTATCATTTAAAACCAAATCATGAGAGATGATTGGATATGGTTAACGATTTGGATGTGCTTCATCAACCATCATCATTATTATATCACATAACCTATTTAAACCCACCTCTCAGGGACAGATGGGGACTGATCTCTGAATTTATATACACCCCCTTCACATTTCCCATAGGGGTGACAACGGGTCGGGTATGGGTCGAGTCTAGACCTGAACCTAGACCTGAATGTATTTGAGTCCAGGTTTTGAACCCGGACCCAACCCGTTGGGTCCAAAAGTTTGACCCATACTCGTACCCATCAGATCCCGGATCTATCCGATAGGGTTATGAGTCTAGTCGAGTCTATTGCCACCCTCCTTATGAGCTTTCTTCTTCTTCTTTTTTGCCCTTTTCTTTACCATCATATGCCTAAATTATTGGCAATAAGGTCACAACCCGCCGTTAGATTTCAAACTATCTTATTTGTCTTTTAATAGCTAAAGATTATTATGCATTATTATTGTATACGATCCATAATACACCTAAACAAATAGGGCTTGAATTATTTTATCTCTAACAATTTATGGGTACGGATCGAGTATTGGTCAGATCCAACCAAACCCGGACCCAGACCTGACCCGTTGAGTCCAAATGTTGGACCCATACCAGAACCCGTTTGAAAATACCGGCAGGTCCCAGGTCGGATCCAGGTCCATTGCCACCCCTAATTTCCCATCTGTATGCATAATAGAGAGAGAGGGAGAGACAAGAGAGTGACTATACATCATCAAGTTATTGCACTCGCAGTCAAGAGATAGGCCCCAATAGTGTCGTTCTTTGTTCTGCGAGTGTGGAAATCATCAAACAGAGAGAAAGCTGTTGATTACTTGACTCACTTGAAGCCTCGGTTTGAGAATCAACATATCTGTGGACAATACCCTTGCGTATACGCCCCTTGGTATTAATATTCTCCATTTGTCTATATATTTTACTTTTAGATCTGTGAATATGTTTCTCGAATCAAAGGTGATTGATCCCGTATAGAGGGTTGATGTAAATTGCAACAGGAATCAGAAGTTCCTAGAACTCCTCATGTACCCTGTATATATGTAAAAACCCAGCTTGTTTCAATAATTGAAACTCAAGGACGAACTTGGCCCGAATTCCTTTAGCTCTTTGGTTTATTTCTATAACATAGAGCCATAATATCATAAATGTATTTGCTCGCATTTTAGGCAACCAGTAGCATGTATATAGGAGCATTAACGATATTGTCGCTAGTGCGACCATGGGGAAAATTCGTTTCGATGAGCAAGGCTATGATTGAACTAAGACCTGCTAGTGTAAACCCAACATATATCCTACGACTCATACTATTTACATTATAGCATGTGATTCATACCACACGTGGTTAACTAGACTGTCATTACTTTGGATATAGATGTGTAAAGGATAATTCATATATCCTTTTACGCCATACAATAATACTCGGTCACCAAGTAACCTGAGTGCCTTTATAAATCATATGACAATAATAGGAAGTGGAGGGTTGATGTTGCTGCTTTAACATATCATTCCCATAGTCATGTATGATCGGCCAGGTTGGGAATAAAGTTAAGATAACAGTAAGAACAAAGCTGATAAATAGTAAGGCAAAGGGAAGACTAGGCATCACGCTATGACTGGTGTCCTCAGAACCAATGCACACCATGACCCTCATTAGATGCATATAGATTGGAATGTCTTACTCAATATGTTATTTTGCAAAATGCTTTAGAACATTTATATTAATAACATAATATGTTTTGGCAAATGAATTATTTGGCATACGTGAGTAATGTTTTATTGGATGAGTTGGTTATGTGTACCAAAAGGGTTTAGTCTCCTAAGCATAGAGAGGGTATAAGTTGAGAGATTCATTCTGGTATGGTCAAGTGTGTCTACTGCAGGCTAGAGTAATTTTGAATAAGAGAGAAGAATTGTTCTATGTTAGTTTAATGAAATTTTGCTAAGGTTCTATTTGCAGTGATGCAGACAATCCTCAAAATCTCATGGTTCATTTCCCTATGTGTTGTGATATATAGCAGATTGATGCTGAGGAGCCGACATGATCATGTGCAGTAAATGTGTGATCGGTAGGGGATGTTGGTTTTTAGGCATGTCTTTTATTGGTAAAGAGCTTAATTGGTATTTGTTATATTAATTAAATTAAATTAAAATAATTTTATGTAATGAGGATTCCAATTAAGGATAAATATGGTTATAAATAATCCTATCCAAATTTGAAAAAAATACACACATAGGAGAGATACTGAGCTCCTTTATCTAAAGAGTTTTAGGTAGAGAATTTGACACAAAAATCTTATGGAGGCAAGAAGACGTACCACTTCTCTCAGCCCTCTTTCTCTAGATATTAACGGGCATTCTATCTCCTCTTTTATTTTTTCTCCCTTTTTAAAAACCCTAGAAAGGGATAAGTACCATCCAAACCAAGTGAATGAACGAGAACTCAAGCCATCTCCATCACAAGCTTAGCATTTTGTGTTGTGAAATTCTACTTTTGGTTCTTGCAATCATTTAGCGAACCTGAGGATATGGGCATTGACCTCTGACTCCTCAAGGCGTACGGGCACTCATAAAAGGAAGGGTAGATCCGAATAGAGCCCGGGCTCAATTAGTTAGCGCTTCACGATTTGCAATGGTACGTTCTAGGCTCAATTACTACCAAGGGTAGGGCCCTCTTCATCCATAAAAAAAATAAAAATTGTTTCATGCAGTCTGGACCGCATTTATACAAGAAAAAAGTTTATATAGAGCCTAGGCTCTAAATAATCAAATTAGAGCCCACATAAAAAATAGCATTGGAAGAGGTTGTTTTGATGCTCAAATATCATCAAATTGATCATCTCAATATCAAGATGTATGGACATGAGAAAAAAATAGATTTCAAGTTTTGGAAATAGTGCATCTTATAATGCATTTTTAGACAGTCAAACTTTCAAGATTTTCAAGTTTTCATAGATTTGTTGGATCTACACTATTTTTTAAGATTTAAATTTTATAATTAGAGATGAAAATATATTTTAAGTTAATCACAAAGATTTCCAGTATTGAAACCACTTTTATCAATACTATTTGAAGGTGCGCTTTACTTTGATTGTTTAGAGCATCGGCTCTATACAAACCGCACCTTTTATATAATATGTGGTCCACCAAGGTATAAAGCATCTATCTTAAAGATAGATGCAAATAGGTCGTCCATTTAAAAACAATTTAAAGTACCGGCCCAAATGTTTTTTCATAAAATCATTATATTTATTTCTTAAAATTTATTATTCTTTTTTTATATTCACGATCTCCATGTTAAAGATTACATGTCCTTAAAAAATTGGGTCCGAAAATGCATCTCCAAAATAGATTTTTAAGTGTCGACTCATTTCTACATGAACTCATACAAACTGTCCATGAAAAAAAGTTTACGTAACAATTGTCAAATCCTTGTGGCATTCTTCATATTTTTGTATCTAATTGCTTTGGGAGTCTCCCACATACTAATTGCTTTGGGAGTCTCCCACATATTCCAACCGAAAGTTGGACAGTACCTGTGACCATGTGATCCCCTAGGGTGCTCAGCATCCTCACACATTTCCCACGGACCTACTAAATTCCATGAAGTTCCATTTGGTCATCATCCTCCAATTATCTTATGAACAGTGACAATGAGAGTGGGACACTGAAAAATGCATCCTTATTATTGCCCATCCATTGGTTCGAGGATAATAACCCAATGACATTTGGTTTTAAACATCATTTGTTGCAAAATGATAAGGTGCTTACCCTTTGTTTCAGAGGTTGTAGGTCCAAATATGGCAACCGAATTATATTAATTATCAAAGCCTTTCCATAACAGTGGGTAAACATGGGATTGGGGCTTTCGGAATAGCCCAGTAACGCATTGGGAAGATATTACATGCCCCGTATTGAGTACCAAATAGAGAGCTTAGTCCACTGTCCATATTTATACAGTAGTCGTCGAACAACCCGCCTTCATAGCTTTTATTTTTTGGCGAGATTAGTTGCTCAAATCCGAAACATGGACTGTGGATGTTGGGTAAAAGTAGCTGGACAGTATACTCGTAGGGGGTATGGCATCGTGCTGTATTGTGCTGCCTACCTCACCATTTAAAATAGAGACCTGGCATATGCTGCCTCTTCGAATACAGAGAGGATATCATCGATCAAATCGCTTGAAGGAAATCCAGGAAAATGATTAGAACTTAAAACCTTTTATGTTTGACTTACAACCCAAGAAAAGAAATAATAAAATATCTGCAGTATCCATGGTCATACAAAGCATCCCTGAAATTCCAAATTCAGATCCAAAAAGGAAACTTGTTCATTTCATAAATAGTCTCTTTAAGAACCCTAATTCTACAAGCACATGCAGATATGGAGACGCAATTATCATATAAAATAACTCAAAAACCAAGTACAACATACACAAGTTACACATTACGTTCAATTATTGCCTCAACCAACTACTCTAGCATCTCTCTCTCTCTACACTAAAGTTGAAATAGACTGCCACCTCAATGTCCTCTCATGGTGATGTAGGATTCGAGTCATTAGCAGATATATGTGAAGACACATCTTCTTTGGAAATGGCCACATAATTGACTGGGGCTTCAGGCCTCTGATTATCTCGTTTTCCGCCATCCTTAGATGCAGAGCGAACCCCAAGAGAGAGGCGGCGATTTGGGGTTCCATTTGCAGTGCCCCCATTGGCTCGTGGGCCAACCACTTTCTTCGGGCCAAGGGGCTTGTTTGGACTTGGCCTTGATCCAAACAAGGTCTCTTGCTCGGTTGTTAGCTGCTCATGAAATCGCTTTTGGTCCTGTTATCACAAGCCACCATCAACTCAAGTATAAACAAATAGATTTCACTCTTTCTCTTTGAATCCACTTTGTTATTCATAAGGCGTGCTCTTTTTCTTGAAATTAATTTATGCAAAAGTACGCTAAAATAATTTACCCAAAAAAAAAAGTGAACTTAAAATTGAGACTGTAAACTAGAAAGATGGCAGTCCGATGGGTCGTTGCCATCCCACGAAATAGTGGATGGCCATGGGAGAGTTGCATCCATCAGTCTGGAACATCAATTACATCACCCCAAATGTGGGTCCCTCTTCCATCACAGCCCATTTATTTCATGGTGATGATCACCATGGACTCTGATTTTTCATACTCCACATTATTATATACTTTTACTATTCTTTTGTATCCTAGAAAAGGTCCCAAATATAGGCGTGAATCAAAAGAGCTAACATCAATATGATGCACTAGTTATTGCAACCAATGTATCTCGTGTTTGAGGTCTGGCCTATGGCCTTACTGGTTTGGGCGTAACAGCCACAAAGCTAGTGTTTGTGCTTTGAATCCCATGCTTGCCTACAAAAGAACAAAACCGTGCATCCTTTCATGACCTTCTTAGATAACCAAAAACCAGGCATGCCTAAAAGGTCAATTGATTAATACTAGCTTATAGCTATATCCCACGTAAAAGTAAAGGGAATAAGAGCATTTATCTTTCTTACAAGGTCACAATTGCTACAAGCCATTAGATGTCAAATTGGATGGTTGGGGCACGTCACAAAGTTAACAAGATATTTTTTCTGAACTTTAGTCTAATCAATGATACATTCACAACCACTCGATTTAAAATCTAATGTCCAAAAGTAAATCGAATAAATGGGCCTAAGCACTATTGACCAAGGAAAATGTTTATGCACCTAAGATTCCTACAATCTATCGCATGGAGCGCTATCTCCATGTAAATGGGGAAAGTCCAAGAGACCACTGAAAAAACACCCATGAGTAGCATGTTGAATAGTGAGTGGCAGTGTGGCATACAAGTATGACAATAAGATCTTAAATAAGTCTCACAAAGACAAAAAGGTCTTAAATAAATCTCACAAACGTGAAGATCTATCAAAATTGATAACTGCCAAAAAAACTAGTGTATTCTTAATATTGTTTCACACAAACAGGTGGGCCAGCATATTCTGCTAGTTTAACAAAGAAAGGTATACCAGATAATCAACATTGTGAAGTGACAGCATGATGCATCGCAATGAAAATTCTAATTCATATAATAAATAAAGAACATGGATTTTTAGGGAAGGATAAAGCTGATGTTTGATCAAGAAGTCCAAATTATTAATCAAAAGATATTCTACACCAACAAAACATTTACAGAAAGTAAAATACCAAGTATTGTCTTCTTAAGTTTATGGAATTATGATTCACTGAATGAATAGCCAAATTGCCAATATGAGGTTTATCCTAGACAACTTTGAAAATAAATGTAAGAAAACTAGGAGAAGTTCAGCACATTCAAGGCAACAGCATGAGGGCAAACATATTAAGAACTCCAAGTATGCATGGTGCACCTTAGTCGAGAACTAGGAAAAATGTAGGCTTGGAGGTAAAAAGGATGGAGGAATTCTGGTCTATCAAATAAAATAAGAAAGAATATGAAAACAACTGCCTCATTCTTAAAAGGGAAAGTTTCTATAGAGCCAAGGCTCTAAACAATCAAATTTGAGCCTACCTCAAAACTTTCAATAGAAGAGGTTGTTTTGATGCCCAAATATCTTCAAATTGATCATCTCGACATCAAGATGCATGGATATGAGAAAAAAATTGATTTCAAGTTTTGGAAATAGTGTATTTTGTAACACATTTTTGGAGCGTCAATTTTCAATATTTTCAAGTGTTCATAGATCTGTCAATCTACGCTATTTTTGAAGCTTTATACTTTATGAATAAATATAAAAATATATTTTAAAGATATCACAAAGATTTCCAGTATTGAAACCACATTTCTCGACACTATTTGAAGGTAAGCTCTAATTTGATTGTTTAGAGACTAGGCTCTTTACAAACCGCACCCTTCTTAAAATGAATGCTTACCCGTAATCTCCTCTTTTCTTCCTCTCTGTCTTGCCTAAGCATTGCATATTCATCTAGCATTGCAAGCAGAGGAACGCCATCATATGTAAATGAAATCCTGCGATCCTCTTCCCATGCACGTGTCTTTGCAATCAATGTGTCAACCAGAGCTAGAGCAAGAAAAAACTGTTTATTCTTTTCATCCAATGGAGACGGGAGTAAAAAAACAAAGGATTTTAAATTTCTAGTTTATTGATTTACCTGGAATTTTGTTTACAAGAATGCGGGCTTTCTCTGCACGTTTCAAGTTTATGTGTGCACCCCTGCTAGAGTTATACCTGTTCTCATCCTGTCTCGCCATAAAACACGTCAGTGATTTCAGCAAATAAAAGCCATAAAGCTACTTATTGAATCTGACAACCAATGAAAAGCTCAAGCTATCACTGAATAAATGGAAGGTTTTTGGGGGTAGTTCAGTGGTACGATTCGAACTTAGGACCCAGTCTAGCAATCATTACATGAAGTTTACTAAGAAGAATTGAGGGTACCCTATTGTAATCTTCAAGCCAGCTTTCTTCTTCACATGCTGACATCCACTTTTCAACCTTCTCCAATATTTCTTTCCTGCTGAGTGCCTCTTCTTTAGCGTTCACTATCTGATTATCCATGTCAGCCAATAACTCCGATGGCTCTATATTCCCAGAGTCAATTAAAGCCATAATCTTCTCTCGAGCAACCTCTGGGTCTATCTCTATGTGAGCAAGATGATATATGTCTTCAAGCTCTGCTTGCTTCTTGAAAGCAATCTCTTTCATTCTGCTGGCCTTAAGCATATCTAATCTTTCTACTTCTACCTCGGCCTTCAGATAGTCATAATGCAAAGAAGAAAAAGTTAACAAGTTGAATTTAGAACTAAATAAGTTTATTGTTACATTTTTCTTAAGATGGCATTTGTGTTCCAACCTGCTCAATGAGGTCAAGAGCAAGAGCTCCAGGCACAGTGACTTCGTCAACTGAAGCTGAGATGTTACATGTGACATGATCAAAAAAGCTCCGCTCCTCCATAGGTGTATCCATCAGGTTCCAAAGATCAGATAGTTGTGATGCTAGCTCTTGAAGCTGCAAAAAGGTAAAATTACAGTCAAACTACATTCGTGAAATTCTCATTCTCAAAGCATGAATTTTTTAAAAATGGCATTGCATCCTTGGAAGCAAAGTGACAACTGCACTCTCAGTAGAAGAGATATGTTTGGCCACATTTGATCATCAATAGATGCATTCTGTGATTCATTGAACCTGTCATTTGGTAAGGGGAAAACTAAAAGGCCCAAGATAGGGCAAACATCCTACAGAAACATGTGTTTTAGTTGCAAACTAAGCACATGACATGCATCCATGCAAACTAAATAATTTTGGATGAAAACTTTCTCTGTTTCTGATTCATGGCTGTCAAAGGCTATCAAAAAGTTACTGTCCAGAGAATGCAATTTTTTGTATGGATAAATATGTGAGACGTCATTACATGAAATAGGAACTCGGAAGCGCAATATCCATGGAAAGCAAAGGCTATTTCCAAAAGATCCGATAACAGTTCCTTTCCTTGCTCAGAGCACAACAATGAATTCAAAATACTGAAAAATAAGATACCCACAACGCAAGTTGCATGTTCTTGATAAAGATATGGAACCTCTTGTAAATTATACACACATGCAAGAGACAATATTATTACACAAACAGAAATATAGTGGAACACAGCTATCCAGCACATTAGGAAAACATATATCCAAAGCTTTAGAAAGCTGTTAACTAGGAAATATGAACCCAAATAAATGAGAATATTCTGAACTAACACGTAATGCTAAAGATATTATTAAAGTCAGACCTTCTGCAATCTCTGCTTCTTATCTTCTTTTAATGATTCCACCATCTTAGCCAGTCTTGATAATGTATCATCACTGATGCTTTTGGACTGTACTCCAACGGAATCATCTAAGCTGGGGTGAACTTCAGTAATAGTACCAAAAAAGTCCATTCCCAAGACAGCACAGAGATCATGTACTGTGCTTACAAAGTCAAGAACCTTGTGCAGTCGTTCACTCTGTCAAAAGGAAGAGGGGGGCCAACATTGTTAGTCATTTTGCATTTCAAGATCCAAACGATGTATACAACATTGATAATATTGACAAAACAAGGACAAAGATTGAGGTTCAACAGAATCTATAGATCAGACAAAATACCACAGATTTAAACCAAACATTTTATTTTTTTAAGTTTCTTCCTTTAAGTGATAAATAAATAATATATAAGGAACAAAAACTACCTTCTCCTTTTGAAGTTCTTGTAATTGAGAATGGAACTCATCAAGTTTTTTGATGGACAGGTCATTCTCATCAACCTTTGGAGTTCCAACTTGCTCATTAAGCTTTAGAGTCCCTGAAATTTCTCCACATATTTTCTGGATTTGTAACTGAACATCTGCGAATTCCTTAATCCTCTCTTCCTTCTGCTGCCAAAGCTGCTCCAGAATAGGTGCTATAGCTGCAAGTTGCTCTTTGATTGTGCCTGTAGATTTATCAGGCTATGGGAGAAAACAAGGAAAAAAAAAAGAACGTGTAACGAATTATTAGTTAAGATGCATTAGGCAATGAACAAAGATACCCACAAAGAGGCCATATTTCAGACCAATAAGAATCACTATGAAGCAGTAGCATCAACAGAGCCATTATCTAGATTATGGTTTCTTATAATGCAAACAAAAGTATCTAGGTTACTTACTAGGCCTACAAAAGTCTTTTCTCCAAGAGCCGATAGAAGATTGGCGAGTTCAGCCTTAGAATCTGCCAAAGACTGAAGAAGGCGAGCCCTAGATTTTGAAGCTTGGTCAACCTTCTTCTTGTACACATCCAGGCAATCTTGCTCTAACTGGAGTAGCATCTTATCTCTTTCTTCATCACTCTCACCAACCTCATCCCATATTTGCTGCAATCAAAAATTTGGAAATTGTAATTAGACAATATACAGCCATACATGATAGCAGTAATTTGCAACTCGTATGTGCATTTCAAAATAAATGCCGTGAAAGTTGACATTGACCGCATAAATCAGAAGTAAGAAAGCCCCCTGAATTTAGAAAGTCACCTCAAATCTATAAAGTCAAAATAAATAAATATCGAGAAAGAGTGGCTCACCTGCAACTGTTGCAGTAAAGACCCACAAGTAGTTTCCCCTAGTAGTGGATTTGGTAACCCAGCAGCAGCCATTAGATCCCCCTGATTAATCTAACCCGAACTCAAGTAGTGGGGAAATTTGCTCTAAATCACTGCAGAGAAACAGAATAAGAATGAAAACCAAGTCAACTTGAACTCGGTTCCTCCAATGCCTATGACAATGATGAAATTGATTAGAAATTCAGTTATGAATTTCAGCACCTGCCAAATCCTAGCCACCGGGAGAAAAATACAGATGAAACATTGAGGTTAGCCCAATATGAGCATCTAAGAAGCTGACAACTTAGTGATAAAAAAAAAATTACAGATTTACTTAATTTAATGAACTTGGGATGAAAGATAGGACAAGAAAAGAAAAAAGTAAGGAAAAGAAAATTATTGAAGATTATAACAGAGTAAAAGCGTAAGACTTCCCTTGAGAAAGGATAAGAACAAACTCAAGCACAGAAAAAGAAAATTATTGAAGATTATAACAGAGTAAAAGCGTAAGTCTTCCCTTGAGAAAGGATAAGAACAAACTCAAGCACAGAACATACTTAGAACTGAGGAAATTTCATAAACGGGATACCCCAAAGTATGCAACTTTACAAGCACTAAGCCTCATAAACTGCGGCTAACTCTAGCATAATTTTAATGCATTTCAATTTGAAGTTTGATCTAGATTTGCAGGTTTGCATACATATTCTGATAGTTTTAAGAATCAAAACTGGTATTAAACACGGCACACCAAGCGTGAGGGATCAAATGCAATGCAGATGACTGAAGTAACCATAATTTCCAGATAGTTTTGTAGCTCTCAGAAATGGTGTATCCCAAGCAGGTCAAAGATTCAACTTAAAAAACAAAGTTTGGTTTTTTTATCACATACTGGAAAGCAACCTTCCTTTTTGCCCAGAATATCCTAAATAACATAATTCCATTATAGAAGCACAGACTTGGACATAATTTTTCTTGGTAATCATCAACCGCAACCAGTATATCTCAAAAAAAAAAAGAAAAAAAGATTCTGTGAATCCAGCAGTAGTACAATATACTGATTCTTCACTAAAATGCAAGAGAGAAGAGAGAGAGAGAGAGACTTGGATGAAGCACAAACCTCACCTTAAACAACTTCAGCGACCACGGTTGGGCAAGCAAAGTCAAGACTTCAAAAGACCAGAAAATGCATTCTGCATTTGCACCATTACAGTTGCTTTAGAGAAATGTACATTTGAAAAAGAGAAACCCAAAAATTTATAAATTTTGCGAAATTCGCTCTTTGCAATCATCAAATTGAAAGAAAATATCACCCAAACCACGATCAACGATATTTAAGCGAATGACAACACACATCAAAGTCAAAATCCAGCACATAAAACTAGAGATCACTTCAACCGAGCAAAAAAAGACCAATCACTTTGATTTCATAACCATTTCATACAACAAACACTTTAGGAAAGAAGGAATATCATCCTCAATTTCAGTTCAAAACAATTTCAAGCACTCCATGCATGGCAACCTACACAAGACCCTAAATCCACATTTTACTCAAATCCACCATGGTGAGCTTGAAAAGCAACTTAGAACACTACATTACAAATCCAAGAACTGCAAATGCTTCATCATACCAGAGAAAACCCTTTCTAGAGACAGAAAAAGCCATTTAGAACAAGATCACGGCATCTGAACTAACAATTACTGTAATGATATAGCATTTCTTAGCAAAAGAACTAAAAGATCACAAGAAACACAAATAAAGAATTCCACGTATGTACACCACATTATACCCTAAATCGACATCCCACTTAAATTTAAGACCACAGTAAGCTCAAAAACAAACTCAAAACACTACATCAAAAGTCAATGAACTAGAAATAGACTACTATTTCAGAGAAGAATCACTCTAGGGAGATAAAGCGGCATTCAGGAAGAGATCACAAGGGCAAAACGATCAATCACTGCAATTTTCTTGCCATTTCTCGTTAAGATCAACTTAAGAGCACTAGAAACACAAACGAATGCGAGAATGTAGCTTACCTCAGGAAATTAAGGTTGCAGATCTGGTACATGAGTGCATTTCCAGGGAGAGAGAGGCCTAGAACGCTCCTTCACAGGAGAAACGCGAATAAGATTCATTAGAGAGAGAAAGAAGAGAGAGAGGGTACAAATAGTGTCAGTGTGTGTGTCTGGGCTCAGCAGTGTTAAAAGTATTTTAGGAATTTCCTGGGTCCAATTATTATGACCACGTGATGAGAAACGGCCCCTATCTTTACATGAAATTTCTAGATCACCCTTCGTTTTATCTGTTTCCAAATTTACCCCTCTATTAATTGGTTAAACGCTACCGCAATCTACGACCATTAGGGACCGTGCTTGCCTCTGATTCGTGGGTTCCAATCTGCTTCCTAGCCATGCCATTTTGGATTTTTATGCCCGAGCAAAACATCGTCTCTTTTCACATGACAAGGTCAGGGCGGGCAACGGGCCGGGCCTTGGAATAGTACTCCTGGCCACAAAATGTGGCCCAAGAGTTGAGCCAGGGCTTGGCTACCATGGACCGAAGCCAGGCTAGGTTTGCCCTCACATGAAAAGGTTAGGGCTGGAAATGGGCCGGGCCCTAAAAAAGTAGGTCCTGGCCACAAAATGTGGCCCGAGCTTTGAGCCATGGCTTTGCTACCACCGAAGGCCGGGCTAGGGTAGCCCTGCAGTTTTTTTTCTTTTTGTTTTGTTTAATAAGGTCTGGCCTGGATCGGGATAAGGCCTGGGCCATAGCCTCTTGGCCCCATCCAGACCAAGCCGGGTAGGGCCGGTTCTATAGGGACCCAAACCGAACCTAGCCAAGGCCGACTTGGCCCTTACCAGGGCTAAAGATTGCACAAGTTGACAAAAGATAATTATGTTGAGCATATCCTTGATAAAACTCAATCGGATGCTTTTAACCTTCTCAAACCTAGGAATTAACCAAAGAAAGTTAAACACTATGTGAATATGCCTGAAAAGATGGTATTCTAAAAATGTGATCGAAAGTCCAAATTTTTGACAGTCACATCTAAATTTTTAAGAATGGAAAATTAAATGTATTTAAGAAATAATGATTGATGATTCTTATGTAAATCTAAAGTCGTTCAAATAAAAGAAGCCTCTTAAGAGGTTTTTTTTACCTGAGGGAGTAAGGATACAGTATAATGCAAAGGTGGTATTTTAAGAGCAGTTATTTTATATGCAATTGATCAGTATTTCAAAAAACTAACATCATACCTTGCTTATAATGTGTCATCTTGTACTTGACAATCCATGGCTAAATGAAAAGGGATTGTATACTATTAGGGAGTTTATCATTGTTACAAAGAGATCACAATTACTCCTGGCCAATAGATGGCAATTTAAATAGCTCGGGATGTGTCTCGAAGTTCGAGAAAAAAAATTTGAATTTTGAATCCAATCAATAATACATTCACAACCACCTGATTTGAAATTGAATAGACAACAGTAATTGTGATATCATTATACAAAAACAAAGGAAGAAGTTTATATAAACGTGAGGCCCTAAATAATCAAATTAAATTACACCTCAAAAATTTACTAGAAGAGGTTGTTTCAATACTAACCCGTAATTTCGATCACCTTGCCCTCAAGATGCATGGATACGAGAAAATTCCAAGCCTTGGACATAAGGCATCTTGTAATGGATTATCTAGACTGTCAATTTTTAGGACTTTAAAGTGTTTACATATCTGCTCGATCTATAATGTTTTTTAATCAAATTTTACAATTAGATATAAAACTAAATTTTCAGGCCATCATAAAGATTTCTAAGGCCAAATCAAAATATTTCAGCACTATTTGAAAGTGCGCCTTACTTTGATTGGTTAGGGTTAAGCTTATACAAATCACACCCAAAAATAAATGGTCTTTTTGTATATTTTTCCTTTTGAATGGTTCGTAACACATTCTTTTTTTTTGGGTAATAAAAAAAACAAAAAAAAAAAAGCAAGTCAGTGAAGATTTGGGCCCCTACCTTTTGGTGAGAATGGAGTGGTTCCTAAAACATTCCTAAATATCTAATGCGTTAATGATGCTAAAAAATCTTAGAATATAAGTTGTTAGAGAGTTTTCTAAGATTCATACTGCTAAAACAGAATTCCTCCTCCCTGAATAAGGTACTAGAGCACCTAGTGTAGTGTACGGGAAGAACATTTGGCAATGGAAATCTCTATAATGGCTCTAAAATCAATTTTCAATACTGACAATAACATTTGAAACAAAAAAAAAAAATACTAATCTTACGGATCTTTGAACACTTATTTTTAGGGCAAAATGGACGGTCTAAATAATTCGTTGCAATATACACTATTTTTAGAACTTGAAATCCTAATTTTTTTTATAACCACAATAATCAAGCTAAGATGGTCGATTTTAAATATTTTCCAATGCTTGAATTACAATTTTCAATGAGTTATAAGGTGAGGCTTTAATTATTTTGATAGGGTTAGCGGTCTTTTTTTCTTTTCTTTTTTTTGGTAAAAGCAATTCTAGGGGTACTTTCAAGACTTCAAATTTTTGGTATGTAAATATTTACAATCTTGCAATAACCTCAAAAGAACACTAGAAAATGAAAAATAAGAAAAGAAATTCAAATTCTTCTTTTAATCTAGTGGATCCAAAAATTCCTGATTTAAAATATCCTACCTAGTAGGTATTTTGCCCAAGTAAGATTAGTGTATCCTTCCGCGTTACTATACACGCTATTGTACCTCCTAAGGCCTATATGCCACCTATTTACATGGGTGTTTATAACAGAAAACAACTATTTTTCAATAACTATGTCATCAAACATAATTTCCTTCACACGTTAATTTGCGTAATGGGCGGTAAAGATTAAATCTAGGGAAGAAGAGTGTTATGGTCACATAGACGCCAAAGGAAATCTTTGGCCCGTGCCCCGAAGGATATTATTCTTCATCTTACTATAACATAATCAAGATAGGAGGTTTTTTATTTTTATTTTTTTTTTAATTTATTTTTGATGAGTCACTCGGCCTCTATTCTTGGTAAGAATTGAGTCTAGGATGTAGCGTCGCAAATGGTCGAACAATTTCCAAGTAGCTACTATTTGGCAGTATCTCTTATGAGAAAGGTCCTTTACTCTCTCGAGAGTATATTCTTTAATCATTCCCTTGGGTAAAACTCCACCCAGGATTAGTTTTAGGACCCCAAATTTAGGAAATAAAATCTCTTTAACACGCAGATTAATGTCAATAATTTTTTTTCGAATTGCAACTTCTAAGCACTTAAAAAAAATAATGTCTTAAGATTGAATAGAAACCGTCTAATTTTTAAAAGGGTGGAATCTAAGCGTTAGAAAACTCAAATTTCAATCTTATTCTTTTGAGAATAATTATCTAGTGATCCTAAGGGAGTTACCAAAATTTAAGATCGAAAAAAATTCTCCCTAATAGATCATCTGATCAAGGGAGTGGAAATAAACTATGCTGTTGAAGTAAACTATGCTCCTGAGCGAGCATAGCATATTATAAGTGTCATCTTTTGTGTAAGTGGACACGAGCTAGCTGCCATAATGTAGCTAGAACAACAAAGGAAGATAGTATTACTGGTCCATTCAAACTTGGCCCTTAGCGATCAAATAACATAATGTTATTAACTCATTCAAATTCGCCTCAATCTTGGAGGTGTATTATTATTATTATTATTATTATTATTATTATTATTATTATTATTAAAACACACCCAAGAGATGAATTATCTAACTTCTCACTAATTTCTATCATAAATCCCATCAATGAACACATAACTATAAATAAAAAGAGTTGACATTTTAGTCATGTTTTGAAAAAGCGAGTGGCATGTTCAATAATTGATATTCTGAGTGGGTTTTGATAACTTTATCTGAAAAACAAAAAAATAAAAAATTTTGAGCTATTTTCTTTGTTTGTGTAAAATACAACTTACAGTGGAGTTTTCCATTACTGCAAGCAATCGATTGGGTGTTTGCAAAATCTATGAGCTGATGACGGCAAGCACGACACTCTAAATAACGCTGTTTAATTGAGCTTGGAAGTTTCCCAAACATCCAAAACTTTGTATATTATTCTAGTGGAAGCACGCTGGCAATTCAAAATGGCATAAAATAGGCTCACATCACCAAAAGATAAAAGATTTCCCCGTCTCTAAGGAGTATACTATCCATTTCCTCCCTCAAGCAAACCACATGCTCTTTTAAGAACACAAGTCTTGGGGATGTAATCTTTATAACCTATAGAACAATTTCAGCAAAAAAAAAAAGTTCAGAAATAAATTATCTATGTAATAAAAAAAACTAATGCATCAACATTGAATATAGACCGCCCAATTTTTAATGGCTAGATCTAAGTGTAAAAAATACTCCAAATTCAATTCTTTTTTTCTTTTAATGATAATTTAGTAATTGTTATATGATTTCCGATGGTTAATACTACAAAAATAAACCTAGCTAGATGTTTCGACCTAGGGAGTAGATGTGCATTATTTCTCATGCGCGAGCACAATATATGCAATAGAAGCAAACTGACAAAGCTCCACACCCTTTCCAAAATTTGAGACCACGGAACACTCCCTCGGTCTCACTTGGGAGGATTTTTTTAATTTAAAAAATTAGGAATATAATTATTTTTAAAAGGTAAAAAAATTGAAATTTAAATTTTGCAACACTTAAATCTCACCATGTAAAAATTGGATGGTGGCTTTTCAATCTTGAATTTTCTTTTTATTAAAGTTAATCTACCAGTTGAAGAGATTATAGCTCCAAAGTTTTGGGTCTTAAAATTATCCTACGTTAGATTTTACCCGAGGGAGTAAATAGACAGAATACACCCTCGGAGTATAATATCTTTTGGCTTTTACTTTTCAATGGGGACTTTTTAACTGCCTCCCAAATACTATAGGGTCACGTTGATAGAACCGGAATTTCGATTTTTGAATACCTCACAATTGTACGGATTTGGACAGGTTGGATTAGCAATCCACTGATGAATAGGTGAAATATAGGTAAAAAAAGTCAAGGGCAAGCTTTTTATGCTCCCTTTAAGTTTTATCTTTCTCCTTATCCAACCGTCCATTTTGAATGGAGGGTTAAGATTGTCTCAATCACAATGTCACGTCTTTATAGTATTTTATTTTTAATGTTTT